TGAACTTAGATCTTTCTTTTCCTGAATTAGAGGTGGGAAATACTTCGCGTTGAACTCCTTCATGAAGTTCACCCATGTCCTTGGTGCTTGTTCTCTTTCCCATTTCTGTCTTATTACATTCCACCAAGAATGGGCTGCTCCCTCCAGTTGGAGGACAACAAATGTCACCTGTCTCTTCTCAGTATAGTGCAACGCGGCAAAAATATTGATCATCTTCTCCAGCCACGTCTCGGCCACGTCAGGGTCTGGTCCTCCAAGAAATTTTGGTGGGGAGAATTTCTGAAATCGTTCAAGGGCTCTATCCTCACCCTCTCCATGATTACCAGGGTTTTTCGACTGATTAACAGGATTTTGGCCCTGATGCTCTACTATGTGAGCCAAAAGGTCGGTCATGCGCTAGATAGCGGCAGCTACTTGAATGTTAGGATCCACTCTAGGTTCAGGATTGGGTTCAGGCATTGGTTCTCGATTTCTCCCTTCACTTAAGAGTTGCCTATGTTCTCGCCCCCGGTCTCGTCCACCACGAGTACCCTCCATTTGGTTTAACTAGTTTAGAGTCAAAGCGCGAATACAATATTAAAACAAATGTATGCACGTACAAGTGACAAAAATAGACACAACTCAAAAGCAATTAGACATATAACACAACTTTATCAGGCAAATCACACAGTAACAGTCAATCGGATATAAGCAAAAGGAATCCCATAAAAGTATTGGGGTCAGCAGAAGTACTATATACAAACTAGGCCAACAGTACAAAAGCATCTAACTGAGAGCTTTCTCGTAACTACCTTTCACGCGGAATCAAAACATGGCTCAAAGGAGCTTTAATTTAGTTCCCAACTGGCTAACGGACTCTCCCTCATAGTTAAACTAGATGCGTCTCCCCCTCTAGGGCTTCGTCCGTACTCTACGAGAATATCACAGTTCATATCTTAGACAGGATTAATCAAACTTAATAACACCCTAACACATCACACGAAGTTCCATAGCATCACATTTCTAGTTTGCCCAAGTTATTTCTAACCTAAGCTTTCATCTCTTTCGTATTCGGGTACAAGAATCCAAAATAAGATAATTCACAAGTCGAACTGGCCAGTCCCAAGAGCAAATCATCTACATTTGTAATTCCTACCGGACATACATCTATTGTCACCAAGTACCACGATAAAGATTTGAAACCTATAACATTTTATAATTCCTAACTTATGCTCAAAAGCACCTAGTCCTTTACACTCGGTCACATGATCAAGACCATTACACCATTTGGCTCCAAACTCACTTCGCACAGAGACCACGCAAAGCGGCTCTGATACCAACTATGACAGCCCACCTCCCCCTAAGGCGAACTAGAGGGTTCGACGGACCGCCTGCCCAACTCTCGCCAGGACTACGGAGCCAAAACACTCGAAAACCCTATGAAACGCGCGATAGAACCCCAAGAAACTAACAATCGGAGATTACTAAGCCGAAAACATGATTACCAAACCATACGGTGAAATGGAACTTCAACTAAATGCTTCAACGAAAGTGAAAACGAAGGACGAAAATGAAAACGAAAATGAACAGTCACGGTCACGTCACAATCCGGCCAAGATCTGGCCAGATTTCCGGCAGGATTACTGGCCGGATTCAAGGCAGTAGCGAAACCAAGTTCTTCACCATCCCCTACCAATCCGGCCAATAACTGGCCGGATTCCCTGAAAGATTTTCCCGCCAAAAATTTTTCTTTCCTCTTTCAAATGCCGCGCTCGCCCGATCGTCCAACAATCACAAGTAAAGTTCACCAAAGCCATAAAACGTACCATCTTATATGAATACACTCAATGTACATGGTTAAACACTTATATACATACATTGAACAAATCAAAATGTGATATTTAAGTAATATACAATTAGGGTTTCTATTACAAAGGAGCTTAACAAAAGAACGTTTACACTAGCTCGACCCTTTCTTCCAAAATTATGGTTTCAAAGTTTGCTCCTGTAAGGAAAACAAAGATCACAGAAAAGGGGTGAGATTACGCTCAATGAGGTACCCAAAACACAAGCAATGATGAACCATGGAGATTTACTTTCAATCACTCAAATAGACACGACAAATAAAGAAATAAATAAACATCTTAAATGGAAAGGATACAGGTGGCTCTCAGGAGCCAAATTCCTATTGCAGTACTTGATCCAAACTCGTTGACCCTCCGTCAACGTTTAATGAAACAAATGTGTCCGTAGACTCTTTTAGAACGCCAAATCCCGTTCACCAAACATATCTCTTGCCGGGCCCGAACTCCAAACAAGAACAAAAATAGTAATACTCGAGTATACCGGGAATTCAGAGTCTCCAATACCCAGAAATTTCCCAGGAACAGTCCCCATGGTTTGTCAATTTCCTCGACCAAACCTTGCTGGCTCGATTCAATTAACTCCCCATGAAGTTTGAGCTCAAGGTTAACAAGAAGGTTGTTGGATACACCTCCAAACGACATCAGGTCAAGAACAGTAACAATTTCCAGTCTATATAGTAAACAGTTACACAAGCAAGAGAACGAGTAATAGGTTCAAGTAATAGGTACAAGCACATACAGTAACTTAACAAATAAGCAAGAGAGACGAGTGTGATGAAGTACACCTTCGTCTCGTTCAGAATTAAGCAGGTATTACAGTCAATTGAGTCACATTTTGCAGGTACAGGTAAAACAATTAAGCAACAATCACTAAACTATTAAAAATGGCACCTGTTGGTCACCAAACCTTTTTTGTGGCCGAAAAGGTCACTAAACTCACAAAATTTCTCCAGCGGGGTCATTTTATCGAATTTCAGTGGTTCCTCATCCGGTGGCATGGGCAATGGGGAATGGAGGAATATAGTCAAGGGGCAAAAATGTCCGAAAGGTTATTGAAACAGGTGAAGCCATAGATTGTCTCATTCCCAAACCACTTTTGAACCCATAGATTGACTTCGTCTTCTCCGACGGTAAAAATAGTCACTGTGACCACCTATAAACCAAATCAAAACAGCAAATAACGAGATTTATAGCCTAAACCCATCTAAAAAATAAGAGCAGCCGAGGAAATTGTGAAGCTAGTGATTTCAATGGACTGGGTGCAGCGACCGAGGGATGAGTATGCTGATCCGTACACGATGTATGGTAAGTTGCTATAAAATTTGTTTTGGTGAAAAAGAATGTTGGTAAAAGATAGTGCAAAGTCTGAAAATGTTACCACGAAATGCAAAAATGTCGAAGAGGTTTTAGGGTGGAATGGGTTATTTTATATATAACAAAGGGGGCATGAAAGGGATAGGAGAGAATGGTCCTCCCTTTTGTCGTTATAGTAGGTTACAAGGGGTCCTACATTCACATGTCATTAAGCTAAATTAATTAGGCAGAAAAAATGTGAATTTTGTTGTATTCGTTGACTAACTGGGGTATAATATTAAGGTTTTGTGTGGGGATTAGAAATGAACCTGTATTGAAGACTTAAAAACTAATTTCAGATTGTAGTTTTTATTAAAAGATTGGATATCTATCAAATAACAATACCTGCAACTATTTGATGTTTGTGATGCAGAGCATGGATGCTCATTATTTTCAGTTAAGATGCAGCATGGTGGTAGAATTGAAGGGGATAAATATAAGAGCTATGTTGGTGGAGAGGTAGACTATTTTGATCTTTGTGATAGTGATAGGATGTCAATGCATGAGATTAATTCTATAGTGAAAAAATGTGGCTACAACAACGATGTCATATTGTACTATTATCTTGATCCAAGAAGTGATATCAACAATGGATTGAAAGAACTCCAAACTGACGAGCATATCAGACAGTTTTGTAGTTGGGTAGAGCAGTTCAAGTTGATGGAAGTGATATGCGACCATGTTCCAGAAGATGAGGTGATAAAAATTCAAACAAAGACCATCGTAGAGCCACCAGATGTGCACAAGTCTACAGTGATCATTGAGGAAATTGATGATGGGGAGGAACGTCAAACAATGAATGCATGTAATAGTAAATCTGTGAAGAAAAAGGGTAAAATCCGTACACGATCATTTGTTGCTTTAGAGTGGAAGGATAACACTATACAAAAAAAGTAGTGCATGGAGCTACTGACCAAGGTGATGCATCTACAATTGCAGCAGGCTTGCACTCAACTTCTAGAGATGGTGAACCGATTGACTTAGAGAGAATTGAAAATGAGGGAGAAGGAAGCGAGTGTGATGATGGGGATGGAACATGTGATGAGAGGGAATTTGAACATTACACAGATTATTGTAGGGACGATGAAATGTATGAAATACAAAGTAGGCAGCAGCCTCCAACACAATGTGGTCAACCACATGAAACTCATGCTGAGTCAAGTGAAAGGCAGCTAGAAAGTGAAATTGATGTTGGCAAAGGAGATAGTGAAAGGCAGCCAAGTGAGCAACCAAGCCAGGCAGGAACTCAAGCATAAAAAAGTACAAATTTGAGGAGGAGTTCTAGGTTGAGCAGCAAACGGAAAAGTGATGCAAATGTCCCTGAAACTACACGGGAAAGTGAAGACCGTGGCCTTCAAACTACACAGCAAACACGGGCAGCCAATGCTAGCAATGAAAATCCACTTAAGTCAATAGCAATAATGGGTCGTCTGACGAGGAAATCGAAGAGGTAAAAGTGAATTATACTAACTTTGATATGGAGAAATTTATGAAAAATCCTGAATTTGAGATTGGTATGAAATTTAGAAGTAAGGGTCTGTTTAGAGAAGCTATTAGGAATTACTTGATTCTTACTGGGAGACCCGTATTTATGTACACAAATGACAAATCTAGATTGAGGGCAAAATGTGTGGCATCCTATCCTTGGTTTGTGTATGCTTCTAAAGTTCCAGCCTTAACAATATGGATTTTGTTTTGAAGACTTTAAATGATGTTCACAATCATTGTAGTCATGCATGGAAAAACAAGCACTTGTCTATATCTTGGTTGGCAAACAGATATGAAGATCAAATAAAGTTAAATATGGATATGCCAGCTAAGCAAATTGGGCAGGCTATGGATGAACAATATAAGTGTGAGATTAGTAGAAATATGGCTTACAAGGCAAGGAGTAAGGCTAGGAAGAATATTAAGGAAAGTGTAGCCGAACAATATGCTTTTGTTTGGGAATATGTTGCTGAATTACAGAGGACCCACCCAAATACGACAATTGACATTCAATACAATCCGAGAAGTGGTCCTGATGAGAGGCCTACATTTACCCGATTCTATTGTTGTTTAGGACCTCTCAAAAAGGGGTTTAATGATGGCTGTAGACCCATTATAGCAATTGATGGGTGTCACACAAAAGGAGCCTATCTGGGACAATTGTTGACAGCCATTGGGATAGAACCCAATAATGGATGGTGGCCCATTGCTTGGGCTGTTGTTGAAAAGGAGGCAAGAGAGCAGTGGCATTGGTTCCTGAGCTTATTGATTGAAGACTTACAAATAGCCACTGCCAGCAGTCATTACACATTTATTTCGGACCAGCAAAAGGTGAAGCACTGCTACCTTATCATTGTTGTTGATATTAGTTACTGTTTGGTTTATTAGAGTTGACCAATTTTTCACCCCTTTTTATTGTAGGGGCTTGATAGTGCACTTTTGGAACTTCTTCCATACTGTGAACACAGATTCTGTATTCAACACATGTACAAGAATTTCAAGAAAAAACATCCTGGACAGGTTTTAAAAGATAGACTATAGAGCATTGCAGCAGCTACAACTGTTGAGTTGTATGAGGTAGAACTTGAAGACTTGAAAGAGTATGACCAGTTTGCATATGCATGGGTCAAAAGGGCAGCCACCACCACAGCATTGGTGTAAGGCATTTTTTCCTCATCATGTTAAATCTGATATGTTAGTTAATAATCTCTGTGAGACGTTTAATGCAAAAATATTAGAATACAAGGATTTACCTATTATTGGAATGATAGAAGGAATTAGGGAGTATTTAATGGGTAGAATAGGAGATGGGGCGGCTTGGATGAAAAAATGCCCTGGTGCTGTTGGTCCAACTATTAAGGAGTTGATTGAAAAAAGGCAAAACAGTCTAGGAAATGGAAAACTGTGGCAAATGGTGATGGGGGTTATCAAGTCAAAGGGCCTAGAGGGGAACAATATGCTGTGTATGTACAAGAAAGAACATGTACTTGTAATTTATGACAAGTTAGTGGGCTGCCATGTTGCCATTCCATTACAGCACTTCATAGAATGAATGAGGATCCATGCATGTATACTGATGGGTGTTATTCCAGGAACTATTGCAAGAAGAAAAGATGTTACAGAGAATAGAAACCACTATGGGTCACAAAATGCAACTGTCCACAAAATGAAAAAACATGTTGTTATTCATTGTAGAAAGTGTGGTTTGCCAGGTCATAATCGAGCTACATGCAAAGCTCAAGATGGTGCTGGAACTGAGCATTTAAGACAGCAAAATGCAACTAGCCAACCAGACAAAGTTGTAGCTCCGGATTGTAGTGAAGAGGGGGTTGTTCCCAGATCTGGGGAAGAGAGTGTTATGCATGGATCTGGTGAAGAGAATGTTGAAAATGTTAACGTTGAAGTTGGCAATTTTTTCCAGCAACATGATAATATTGTTGTTCAGCCATCAACTTTAGAAGGTGCACAACAATCAATGGAAGGAGCAAATGTTGCTGCAGAAGGTGATACTGATAATCCCACAGAAATGTTGAGGCCGATCGCCAGTCAACTGCTAAGAGGCAAATCAGAAAGATGAAGACCCCTGTTAGCTATCAACCTTTCTAACTATTTGTAGACACCAAATTTTTGGTGTAATTCCTTTTACTTTTTTATTCTCATTTGTCGTGGTTGCTTTTAGTTTTTATTTTATTTTTAAGTTTTAGCGTAGGAAAATCATGGAAAAGGAAAAATCATAAAAAAAAGAGAAAAAAAAAGAAAAAAAAGCGTTCAAAAAATATGTTGTAGTTGTTTCAGATTTAGTTTCATTATTTAAAAATGAAAAATGATGAAAAATTAAAATTTGTAAGAAAAGGAAAAGAAGGAAAAGAATTTGTTCATAAAAATATGTTTTGAGCATTTTTTTTTAGTATTTTATTTATTTTAGTTAAAATTATTTCTTACTTTTCAAAAAAAAAAAAAAAAAAAAAAAAAAAAAAAAAAAAAAGGATACCAGCGGCAAGCTGCATTTGTAGCAGCTTGCAAGAAAGGACCTGTGCGGCTCCTTAAGCTGCAAATATGGCAGGATTGATTTAGGGTTTAGAGGTTAGGATTCTCATATAAAAAGGAAGAAGGATAGCAGCCGCAAGGGGGAGGTTTTGGTGGGTAACAAAAAGAGAGGGAGGAATCGGGAAAGAAAAAAGGGGAGCAAGATAGGCAAGGTGACGGGGGGGAAGAGAGAGAGAGGAAAGCCGAGAGCTAGGAAGAGGGCAAAAGAGGAGTGAGTGTGTGAGAGCTGGGAAAGTTGAGACAAGGGCGACGGCTGAAAAGTTGGAAGAGAGGGTGACGGAAGGAAGCAAGAGACTAAGAAAAGGAAAGTGGCGGGTCTTGGGAAGAACAAACAAAGAAGGAGAATCCGGCAAGGAAGAAAGCTGTGGTCTTTGGACTGAGAGAAAAGATCTGAGCAGGGAGAGAAGGAAGTCGCGTTTCTGAAAATTTGGTGGATCCTTATCGAAGGTCAGATCTTCATAGCTTGTTACTAAAATCTACAACCTGGGCTGTTTGATCCTTGAGCAGTTGCATCACTCATTCTGCCTTGAGATTTCTACCGCCCCTTTGAGTCTTCAAGACAGAGAAAGGTAACTATCCAGCCCCCTTTTGTTCATTTGTATGAAAACAAATCCTTTAGATAGGAGCATAGTTTTCTTGTTTGATGGCCTGGCTGGTCCACCGCTGCAGGATGGTTCCCCATTCCCTCGTTGATTAATTGCATATTTTTGCTCTAGAATTTCTGTTTCCAAACACTAGATGACTGGGCTAATGTTTTGACAAATCATGTTAGAAGATTAGGATGGTTTTGCTTGTTAGAATCGCAAGTTATGATTTTGTTTGTCAAAAGTTGCAAAAACCTGCACATAAAATCTGCTGCAACAAGCTCCAAGCTCTTGGTCCTGTTGCAGCAGCGTGCGCAGATACCTTTTCTTTTCCTTAGATGGCCGAAGCTTTGGTTTTGTTTCAAACGCTTGATTTGGTTTGTAGCTTGACTGAAATGTCCTGTGCATGATTGGGAACTTGGTGTCAAAGGTCATCAGTAATTTCTGGTTTGATAAATCTGTTGGTATGATGAAACAACAAGTTTGGAAACCAAAAAAAAAATGCAGCAAGTTTCATTTCGGTTATTGCAGAAGCTGTTTCGAAGTCGTCACTAGCATGAGGGGCTTCCTATAAGTTGCATTTTTGTCAGGAGGTTTTGCCATGTTTGTGACTGTAGTTGGTTCAAAGTCTTATATGACTCAGCCGAAAGTTTCATGGGATTGCAGAAACTGTTTGAACAAAAATTGCAGCAAGAAATATAGGAATGATTTTGGGTTTTACCAGTTTTTTTTCATTCCCCCCTGATTTGCATGTCTAAGTTAATGTCTTATGATGGTTTTTGAGAATCTAATGAACTCCCTGAATAGCCAAGGAAGCTTTAAGATCACGGAAAAATGAGAAGAGTTTCGCTGCACTTGTTTTTGCTGTTATAAACTCTCGCCGCCCCTTTGTTTTTTAGCAGTCATCAACCTGAATTTTCTTATTTGATCTCGCAATGAGTGTATTATTTGGCTTGGTTGATGATCATGGGAATATTTTATGTTTGTTTGACTCAAAAGTTGAAGTTTTGCTGGTAATATTTCGGTGATGAAGCACAGCAATGTGCGGAGAGAAATTTCTGCTGCATTTATTTTCCATTCTTTTGCGGATTAGTTCCTTTCATCCTTGCCGGTCTGCTTATATTCTTTACTTTGGATCTGCAACAAAGTCTAGCTATTGATTTAGTTGGTGGCTGAGAGTTAAAATCTTGGTATTCAGTGAACCTGTTTGCATGAAATTTGCCTTGAATGAACAAAGAAAGTTGCAGCAGTTTTATGCTTCAGATTTTTTTTGCATATTTTTCCAGTATTTTTGCACAAGATCTTTCTAAATTTCTGGCCATTGGATTGTGACTATCATGTAGTTTCATTTAAGTTGAAGTCTAGATGATTAGTTTTGGATTAAATCTGGAATTTTTTACTTGAAAGGAAGAGGCAGTAATGTGCACCTGTTCTTGATTGCTGAAGGCTGTGTTGCATTTTTTTCCTTTTTCTTTCTTTTGCTTTTAGTTTTCCTTTTGCTGGTTAGTTCCAATTTTGTTTATTTCAATCCTACCATGAAGTTGTATGTTTAGTAGACAATTTTGTTTGCATGGTAAATAGATAGAATTGCACCTGAACATTGCCGCAAGCTTGGAACAAAATGTCATCAGAATTCATCCTTTTTAGTTGCAGAATGTTAAGCTCTTCACGTATGCATGCATGCAAATATCTTTCAGAAAATTGCACTTTAACCCCCCCAAGTCTCTCCTTGTTCCACTAGGACCCAATCAATTAAATAATTTCATCAATTTGGTCCTTGGTAGTTTTAATTTTTGCAACTTCATTGTTTGTTTGATTCCAATTAGCCACCTTGCTTTGTTTAAATTGCACTTCATGCATGAATTTAAGAGCTTTATGACCATGTGAGCCCGTGTTTGCATATTTTCTTTAATTTCTTCAAATAAATTGGTACCTTGACCATTTCTTTTATTTTGGAGGATAAATAAGTTGATTTCACTCCATTAGAGCTTCATTTCAAGGGCGGTATATCTTCTTTTATCCCTTTTGTCTCTCCTATGTGATCCAATGTGCTAAGTGTGAATCGCATGCCTAATTTGCTTTCATTACCATTCTTTAGTTCCATTATTTCATTCCTTCTTGCTTTTATTAAATTATTCTTTTAAATGGGGTATGTGTACACCTCTTGGCTTGTAATAGATAGGGCGTAGCAAGTAATTTGGTCCATTTTCCCTTTCCCTTCTGTTTTAGTTAGCAAATGTAATGGTTGCATGCCTATGTGTTATATGTTAAATGTTTTATTAGGATTTTGCATCTAGTCAAGCGTGCTAAATGTTATGTGCTACGTGTTTATAAGTGATTCGCATGTCTACTCGCTTTTTGTAGTATGGATGAATGGAATGGATGAATGTACGTCACCACACTAGTCCAACACTAGTTGTGGCTTCTTTTATCGTTTCCACTAGTCCAACGCTAGTCGGAATTCATAGGAGGGGCTAGTCCAATGCTAGACCCAATAGGTTTTTTTTCCTTTTCTCATTAAGTGCATGATCACCACATATCACGCATTTTTCATTAGTTTTATCATTTGGTATGTTCCTCAAACCCCTTCCCCTTCACTTTAGGACTTGCATCTCATGCTAGTTAGGGTTCATTTGCGTGAGAGTCCCCTTAAATATGGGATATAGACGAGTGTGGCTTTTTCTAAGCCTTAGCACGCTTGTATTCTCTCTATCAAAAGGCAAATTGAGTCACGATTTAGGTCTCCCCGTACCCATTATGCATGAATTCCCTAGGTTCATGCATCCACTCTATCATTACACTTTCATTTTTTCCTCCCATTTGCACACGTACACCTTTTATCCCTCCATTTGCACACGTACACCTTTTATCCCTTTTATCCCTTCATTTGCACACGTACACCTTTTTATCCCTTCATTTGCACACGAACACTTTTATCATCACTTGCACACATGTACTTCATATTATCATTTCACACACCGCACCTTGCCCACTCACGTGCACATTTTCACTTACATATTATTGCCTTTTATTACTTTTTTTCAAACTCATGTCCTCACATTGCATACATGCATTCCATTCATTTGCATCCCACTCGCATTATTCGTGACCTCTTCAAAGGATCGTTATTGGGCTTCACAATTAATGTGATTGGCACCACTCAACCTTTGAAGGGAAATTTCCCCCAATACCCCTAGGTCTAGGGTTTTCCATTCATGTAGTACATCCAAATGTAATAAATTCTTTGGTTAAAACAAGAAAATCTTTGATTAAATCAACGCAACTAGCCTTGGCTAGGTCGAAGGGGTGCCTTGGATTTTTATCCTTGCCTTCCCCTTCGTCAAATGTGACTCCCGAACCTTTTTCTTTGTTTGCGTGGACTAGGAGTCGTTCAAAAGGGTTTCTTACTTTTTTCCTTAAA